GATGGCAACCCGAAATCAACTCCCAAGGTCGGCGGGCAGGAAGCCGGGAATCCCTCGGCCCCGGCCATGGGCTCCAGCCTGTCAAAGCAAGGCCAGACACCAATGACCAAGGCAGAGTCTACGGCAACTCCCATGTCTCGAGACGCATCCATGAGACGGCATGGCAGCACCGCAGGTGGCAAGTCGGAGAACACAGCCACACCGGGCAGAAATATCAAGAGCGAGAACACGCCGCGACTCGGGGACAGTAAGCTGCCAGTCGCCAAGCCAGAATTCGAAACTTCTCAGCAAATGGGCATGTTGGAGGATCCGTGGGCCAACACAATTGACCCGCAGAGCCTGTTTGCCGGCTTCGCTCCTCTGGACTCGGCTGCTGGAAACATGTTGACTGACTTTAACGCTTATCGATCTTCAACGCCAAACGACACGCCGGAATCGAGCAAAGATAGCGGAGCGTCGGAACCCAACAGCGACATTTCGGAGGGAATGCTACTGGACATCGACTTAAGCTGGCAGAATATGGACACGGACGTCCTCTTGGATATGAACAACATCAGCGTAGACGGGTTTGAGTCATTGGAGAGCGAGTTTATGGGGGCCGAGTCGATGCCATTTGGCAGCCTGGATGACATGTCAAACGACTTTTCCAAGCCGTTCCATTTCGACTCGTCACTATACTCGATGGATACAATCTAAAGAGGCCAAAGGGATGGATGGTAGGAAGAGAGTGAGGAGTGGTTAGTCTTTTGGTTTGTTTTGAACAACTAACGGCGGTGTGCAATTTCCTGGAAGTTTCTTGGAGGCGTTTACCTCGGCGACACGATGGAATACGAAGGCATATGGACGGGGCCCGGCCGGAGGCAATGGCGCTCCAGCAGGGCTTAATGACTACCAACGGACGGACAGGTATAGCGGGGGGCAAGCCGGAAAAGGTCAGTTGGTCGTGGCGTTCTCGGGTTATCGGGGAAGCCCTTATTGGTTTTTTTCTCAACCCAGTTTTTCTCTTTTCACATTTTATTGGACTGTTCGTTGTTTCCCGCAGCCTTGGTGCTCCTGGGGCGGGGACTTCTCTTTGCTATGCTAGATGGCTGTGGTTGCTTTGGCCGTGTTTGTATCTGGGACGGAGTTTTGGCGGAGGGACATATCGAGGGAATGGCCATGGGGTGATACCCGTAACTCTTACACACGCATCAATCAGGATTTCTCTGGTTCTCTGATTGACGGATCGGTCTATAACAACGACGCTTGTGCTTTGGGTGAAGGAAATGCGGACATGTATTTTGAGGAGCGGATCGATTGCTTCCCCTTTCCAGCGCCAGTGGATATAGCCTTGCGCGGATGCGATTTCGCTCGCGGCAAATACGTATATTCGAATTGTACCAAGTACACGAGCCCATGGTGTGTGTTGATGTATGTTTCGGCATGTGTTGTCTTGTGTGTGCCGTGTTGATTGCGGAAAGTTAATGTTTCAACAAAATCAGTCAGCTATCATGGTATATACTCCAGTCACCGCCACACTCCAAGCTACAAATCTCATTAATTATAGTGATGTCGGTTGATCAAGGCCCCAGTACCACCTCAATTACGTGCTCGATGGCATCGCGTATCCCCCCCACAAACCCCGTGTGAGTACCCGGGATATGCCCCGCCGATTCTGGCGTGGCTGTGAGGTGTGAAGGGGAAAGGAAGGAGGTATTAGTGGGAACGGGTCTTGGTGGTCTCACAAAAACGGCCAGGTGTGGGTTCCGGTTAGAGTGTTGTTGGGTTTGGGCGAGGGGAATCGTGGTCACTGTCGAATAGTATTCTTTCACGGTGATGGATAGACCTGTCAGGTCCTAGCAGAGTTTGACAGTGAGAAAGAGGAAAACGAAGATGTTTGACGCAAGGAAAAGGCTAGTTAGTCCCTATTCAAGTATCGAAAATAAGTTGGCAGTTCTAGTGTAGATATCGTGTGAAGTGTCAAGTGTCCGTAGTTCCTGGCGTCTATTTCGACTTCGGTAAGCGTTGGTCCAAGAACTGCTTGACTTTGGGTGTGTGGGGTGTGCCCCAAGATCTTCACATGCGCGATGCGTTAGCGGCACTGCTGGACCCCTGTAATCCACCACCCTGCAGCGCCGAAATTGGGGTGCCCAGGATACGGGACGGGCACTTATATATACGTTGACCGTATTTACAATTTGCCTGTTGTGGACAAGGCGATGTTTTTGAAAGATGGGTGTTGTTCGCGACTTGGCCACTGAAACCCACTTTGACACCACCAAGACGCGTTCACTCCGCCGTCACGCCCCCCTCCCCCCGGTTCCTCCCCTCCTCTAATAGCAACTCCACCTACCCACCATCCCACGCTCGACAAGCTCCGACCTTTTCACTTTCTCTCAATATCTCAGACGCGTCGTTACAGCTCACTTTGTCGGTTGCTTGTCCCTTCAGTTTGTCAGAGCGTGCATCGGGGACATCACATGCTCGGTTTTATATCCCGACCCCCTGCTGCGTTGTACACCAATCAGTACTGAGACATCCAACCCACACACGGTGTTCGACATCAGCTGCAGTCAAATTCATTGCGCGTGTGTCTGTTTGACCCAGCCGGACGGACCCAATTGGATCCTCCCCATCCGCACTGCATCTCGCCCGCAGACGGACGCAGCAACAGAAGAACGGAAATGGACGTCTCGTCCCCCATCAAGAGACGCGTTCTAGGTGCATTAGACCCCAACGCGTCGCCCAAGCCATCCCCCCACCACCAAACAAATATCAAGCAGCAGCAGCAGCAGCAGCAGGCGAACAAGTCGGCATACCATGTTGCACCACGCATATCAGTCCCCCGCACCCATATATCACACACAACACCGGAGCCGGAGGTGTCGGAACCGGAGGCGCTGAAACGACCTGTGAGCATGGCGCCAAGTGCCGATGACGAACCAGCGGCGAAGAGACCCCGCTTCGGGGTAGATGGCGATGCAGGCCAGGAAGTATGATATTGCCCCCCTCCCCTTGAGCTATATTTATTCGCGTCTCGGGGGTATGGAAGCTGACCGTCATGCTCCGTCTCAGCCTCGGTCCCCTCGATCATGTACCCTCTCTGGCGGTAACACCAGCAACCACTCTGCTCCTGCTTCCCCCGCTGCGTCGTCAGTCTTTGATAACTCGGCGCTCGATACGTCGCAAGCTACGACTGTGACAGAGCCTGATGTCAACTCCACACCGGTGTCATTCGCGGCCCCGCCCCGTGTACCGCGTTTTTCGCGCGAAGAGGCACGCGAGGTATGCTCCTAGCCTTTTTCTTCAGCATCTGTAGCACTGCTAACATCACTACAGAAAGCAGAGATCATTCGTCTCCGGCTCGGCCTCGCTAACTACAAGGTCAGAACGGGTCAAACCGACGTTCCGTTGGACCAATTGCAGATGCGACCAATCCCCCGTACGGATGCTGGGGCAAGGAGCGGGCGTGCCGTGCTGCCATTTGCCGCGGAAATGAGTAGGCCGATGGTTTCGAGTATCCCCAGCGGTAGTGGTCCTATGAGACGACCCCTTCCTGGCGCGCCGGTGCGCAGACCATCCCCGCCGAGCGTGGGAGCACAGGGGGAGGACGAGGACGACGAGCAAACTGAAGAAGAAATGGATACGACGCCGGATGAGCCTCAGCAACAAGGAGGTGAGGGGCAGGCATTGCCTAGGTTGCCGCAGTTGTACCCGCGACAGCCAGCGGCGGATGCTGGTGGAGGTGTTGGCGTAGATCCGAGGAACGCAGCGGGCAACGGTGGCAGGCACCAGTTTGTAGGCGCGGGTGATGAGAACGAGGGAGGTGCTGCTAGCGGGCTGCTCAGTTTGTCGAGAAGCTAGAGGCTTCAGGTTGACACAACGGTGAAGTTTCGAGGCCAGTTCGGTGGAGGTGACGGTGGAGATGCCGAGGTCAAAATCAAATTTGACTTTAAGGGTGACGAGGAGATGAAGATAGAATTTCGCAGAGGGGATGAGTATGAGTAGAGGGCGGCGGGCCTCTCAGGCAAGAGAAAGGAAGAAGGGTTCATGACCTGTTGGTTTGTGGGAATATATTGTAGGACTATTTTGTGCGGGCTATTGGATGAGGAAGGAAAGAGGACTGTTATTAGCTTGCAGACTTGTGGGCTTGTACTGTACTATTGCATCGGGCTGGGTGGCTCTTGTACGCCTTTATGTAGAGTAGTTTGTGTAGAGGATGGAGGGGTCTTGGGCGTTTGGGTGGATCGGTAGGAGAGACGGGTGTATCTCTGTAATTCCGCTTGATGAATTGACTTTGTAGCATGCCGTGCTGTAGCAACGCAAAGCAACGATTTTCGTGAAAGGAATGTTCGTTGTCTAGTGTAGTCTCCTCAGGGCGACCGTACGGAGCAGAACGATTTTAAATGCAAGTGTTTTCCACTCGGCATGGATGTGTGGTGGGATTGCCTCTCCCCAGGTCGGGAAGGTACCGTATCACTAGGGGCCCCGGCCCCCACGTGGAAGCCACTCCGATCTGGCTGTCCAGGCCTGGTCTTGGCTTGCGGCTTGCGGCTCGTGGCTCGCGGCTTGGTGCATGCGGCTTGTGCGTACGGCTGACAGCGCTGGTGCGAACACCCTTCCCGCTAGAGAAACAGATTGATTGCATGGGCAGAGAGTTCAACAAATAGGATACCAACAGGCACGATTCCCAATTCGGATTGGTGTTTAAGTCCCTCACCCCAGAGGTACTTGCGATCCAAGTCCTCTCTCGCATGTTCTTTCTCTGCGTGTTGAGTGTCGCTGAACCAGCCCCGGGCACTATGGACGGCGAGCTTCCCGACAAGGGTCGTCTGGGGTACTCATGATAATAGCACCTTGACATGATCCATGTTGTAATGTGCAGCCCTTCAAGAGCGCCGCAGTGTAGTCCATAGAAGCCGCATCCCACACAGTTCTTGGCGGCAGGGGGGAATGTAGCTCCGATTGCCTCTATTTACACTAATTTCCGCTCCCCATTGACATCAACAACCACAAACCACGGTCCTATAGTGTAGTTGGTTATCCCATAGGATTCTGAATAGCCTTCTGACTCCCAAAGCTTCCCATGAACCCGGTTCGAATCCGGGTAGGACTCTTTTTGTGCCTCCTGGGTGGAGGGTATCATCGAGAGATGCACCTCAAGCCAGTATTTTGCACGACTGCCTTTGTGAGGCACTCGTTTTTTTACGCTTTGTAATCACCAAATATGTTCCACCTGCTCCAAGATATCAACCCATGCTCGCCTTTGGATTCAAAAGTGGTAGAGCTTATTCCCCTATTTCTGGATAATATAGTTTCTCATGCAGCCATCCCGAAAATTCACTTGAAACCTTGAGCACACCTTCTCGGTAACCACAGTTCCCCGAGAAGGGCCGAGCTTCAACTTGGAGCGGAAAGTCCAGACAGCTGCAACGAGGGCCTTGACAAAAAGCAAAACTCCTTTTTCTTTTTGCGGTCTTTGGAGCACTTGACTCACGGCCGTCGAATCCTTTCCCCCATAATGGACTCGGACCTGCTCCGGGGCGGCGGTAATCTTGTGCGACGTGAACACTTGTCCCCACAACCCCCCGATCCACCCTATACCGAGCCGAGAGCGGCACCCAAACACAACAAGCAGCAAAAAAAAAAAAAACTGCCCGCTTAGCTCAGTGGTAGAGCGCATCACTAGTATATCATCTCTATGGTATGTCTACTGATATATGATGAGGTCCTCAGTTCGACTCTGGGAGTGTGCTCATTCGACGATCTAACCGTTCTGTTTGCCTTGCCTGTCGAATGGCACCTGACAAAAGGGCTGGTTGGTTTAATGGGAGGATGGCTCGGGAATTATCCGTAGTCGCTTGACCCAGGTAGAATCCATCAGCTGCGTTTTGTCTAGATAGTCAATGTAATGTCGATGAGTGAATTCCCCCTATATACACATCCCGCAACCTGCCAAAATATACAAAGCGTTGGCAGCCCAACCAACTCCGATCAAACATTGTGATCCCACGCCGCAACATGGTCGTTATTCCACCTCCTCACCGCCTCATAGTTCCTGCACATATGATTTATCTCGAAGTCCGGCCACTCGCCCTCGATGCCCTCGTCCGCGAGCTCGGGGAACGTCTTGAACGTAAAAACGCTCACGTCGCTCTGGCACATGAGGTTCTGCCTGATAGCCTCAATGCAGTGGTCTACACGCTCAATATTAGCAACTAACAACCCGCGTAAAACAAACAGAAGCCACAGCACTCTACTTACCGACATGCCCCATCAGATCCTCCACGCCATCCGCATCCCCAACATCCCCGCCAACCTCCTTGCGGCCGTAGTAGTCCCGGTAGACGGCCTGCCGCAGCAGGTTGAGGCAGTGCAGCTGGTGAAAAACCTCGACACCGGCACGGTACCCCCACTCGCCCGTGCGGGGGTCCTGGATCTTGAGGGAGTCGGGTGATAAGCCGAGCTTCTGGCGCTCCTCTTCGGTGATCATGATGTCGCCGACTTTTTTTTTTTTGGCGGCATGTCAGCAGAGCTGAGAGCAAACTTACGATTTTAGGGGGGGGGGGAGGGCTTACTGTCGTTCGCGATGTAGTCCCACGCCTTGTCCACCTTGGGGCCGTAGCCCGTGTAGGGCGAGTCCTTGACGATAGGGCCAAGCTTGAACTTTTGCGGTTCATACGCGACGGCTGGGAAGAGGGGGGCTGGTGGATTTTAGTGATGCGGTCATATGCTGGCGATGGGTGGGCGGGGCTTACAATATGTTGCGATTTGTGGGAGGAAATCTGGTAATGAGGCGCTGGTTGTGTTTTTCATGCACAGCGACAGCGCGAAGAATGTCACAGAGGCTGACAGCAAGACGGCGTGGGCAAGCCATGCCCAGTGGTTCTTTAGTCTGGATGGTTTTTTCCGTGGTGCTTCTCTGTCGAGCTCAGGGTGCAGCCACTGAGACGGGTTCTTGTCTTGGTAGAATTCGAGACTCCCCTCCTCGTCAATAGGGACGGGACGGTAGGTCTTGGACTTGGGCATGATGGAAATGAGGAAGGAAATGACGAGGGCAATAAGATAATACAAGTTCACCAGTGAACAGGAAATAAGAGCACACCAGGTGCCTGTGTGCAAATGCAGCCCAAGGGCGCACAGAGAGAAGGATAACTGTAAGATAGGATTAAGGAAGAGAGTAGGAGAGAGAAGAGAGATCTGCTACCCTAGGCTGGGCAAAGGTACCAGTTGCCTGGAATCGCGACAAAAGACAAGCCTTGATCGCCAATGGGGGATTCGAGGCCAAGCAGAAAATCAGAACCAAGCAAGAATAAGCCATTGGGGCATGTGGATGCGACTGGACAGGGAGAGCGGTATCCTTGGCATTTCGAAACTTGGCGGGCCATGAGACACGTAGGGGGCACAAGCCAGAGGCTCGCTCGTGACGCCACTAGGTGTTTGAGGATGTAATGTTTGGCAAGTGGACACGATGGCATGGCATAGTCGGGGTTAGTGTAGACGAGGGAGACGAGAGAGACGAAGGAGACGCTGTTGACAGGCAAGCGTTCCACGGGCCTTCGATCACGTAACGACTTCATGCGCAAGCGCAGGTGAGAGCTGAGCGGCTCGAGGGCAGTCGAACCTGGTAGTTACCACGCCATCGAAAGGGGAGGGAGCACCAGAAGGCCAAGAGAAAGGCGGCAGTCGGCAGTGACGGCACCACCCAGAGACACCACAGACGACCATCGACTCGCCCAAATGCTCGAAACACTCGCCTAATCCCTGCGCCCACCTGGTGTCTGGGGTCTGGGTGTTTCAGCCATCTGTCTTGGTCTAGCGCGCTCAGGTGAGTCGGTGGTGTGGCGTCTCAGATAAGATAAGGAGTCCCCTGGCGGCTCCAGAGGCTGATGGCCGCTCGTGGACAATTGGAATGGGGAAACAGCGACAGGCTCCTGTGCGACACAAGGCGCGGCGAGCCGAAGACACACGATCTTGTTGTTCTCGTCGAAAAGTCCAGAGTTTCCACGATACTCCCGTGATCTGCAGCAGGCCGTGCTGGTTTATGCCTCAGCTAAGACTACAGCGGTTTGAGAGGGCCAAGAGGCTAATTGCAGGGCACCTCAATCGCCTTTGTACACTTGCTCTCCAGCGACCGCCAGATTCCCGGTGATCTCATTGGAGATCGTGCTTGGCACAGAACACCGAGGCAGGTCCAGCCGCCGAGCCGCATTTGCAGATGATCTGGGGAAGCCCAGATCGCCCACCCCCTGCCTGCATCTCTTGGCATACGAAGCGTAGATCACGGCGTCTTCAAACCAGCTAACGGTGATTGGGACGCGAGCACGAGCTTCACGAGCGTGCTGACATGGGGCCGACGGTCGCAAGACTCCACCAGTCGAAGCGCGCCGTGGTCCTCATCCAGCACCGCCTGTCCATGCCTACCCATGCCAGCTCGCCGACTTCCTATTCAGGGGATCGAGCCCCTTCAGGCCCAGTGGCTGGTCGGCCGCTTGGCATCTTGAGACAAATGTCTTCAACAGGGAGCGTCCGATGAGTATCGGCGGGAGCGAGTCGGCGCCTTTGCGTCTCATCGTTGTTGTGTTGACCCGAGTCGTTCATGGATAGTAACGGGGCACCAGCCTAAGGGTCATCGTCTCATGCGTACTCGCATCGACCCTGGCCTGCGGCTCGAGTGGTCGCTTCGAAGTCGTGGACCATGGGTTACGGGTTCGCTCTTCAGTCTCCATCGATCTCCAGAGCCAAGGCTATATATAGAGCTCATACTCGCTCACATCGTCTGATTCCACTTTTTCGCTCATCTGCCTTCTCTTCCTTGTCAATCTTTCCTTCGTTTACCTTCCATTCTTTGTATTCCTTAGACCCTTAGCTGCCGGCCAGCCTATTTTAGCAAGATGCATACCCCTACCTTTGCTCAGTTCCTCGTCGGCGCCATAGTCGCCTCATCGGCGGTCGCCTTCCAGGCCTCGACCTTCCTTCGGGTGGTAAGATACTCACCTCCCTACTCACGATCGTCAATCTAACATTCGCCCAGGGTTCTGCTCTCGCCATCGCTCACTCGGCCGCGGCTGCCCCTGTCGATGCTGCCGTCGGGATTGAGGCAAGGCATCACAAGGGGAAGAAGACCAACGGCAAGCGTGAGGTCGTTGAGGCCCGCCATCACAAGGGCAAGAAGACCAATGGAAAGCGCGACGAGGAGGCCGTCCAGGAGATCGAAGCCCGTCACCACAAGGGCAAAAAGACCAATGGCAAGCGCGACGCCCCTGAACTCGAGGCTCGCCACCACAAGGGCAAGAAGACCAACGGCAAGCGTGACGAGTCCGAGGTCGACGCCGCCGAGCTTGTAGCCCGTCACCATAAGGGCAAGAAGACCAACGGCAAGCGCGACGTCGAAGAGGACGATGATGAGGCCGACGATGACGTTCACGAGATCGAGGCTCGTCACCACAAGGGCAAGAAGACTAATGGCAAGCGTGACGTCGAAGATGCCACCGACGACCTTGACGACGATGAGGATGAGGATGCCATCGACGACGCTGATGACGAGACCCACGAGATCGAAGCCCGTCACCACAAGGGCAAGAAGACTAATGGAAAGCGCGACGAGGAGGCCGTCCAGGAGATCGAAGCCCGCCACCACAAGGGAAAGAAGACCAATGGCAAGCGTGAGGTCGTTGAGCCCCGCCATCATAAGGGCAAGAAGACCAACGGCAAGCGTGATGTCGACTCTGCTGAGGTCGATGCCCCCGAGCTCGTGGCTCGCCACCACAAGGGTAAGAAGACCAACGGCAAGTAGTTGACAGGGCTAGAAATTGTTGATACAAAAAATCGAAATCTCGTTGGTAAGGGGCAGCGGCTTTTCTTGTCAGCCTTTTTTTCGTCCCCTTTGCAGCAGGTGTCATGTGTATTTAGCTACAGTGTGTTTGACCGCAAAGCGGATGTTTGTATATAGCATAGTACATAGCGGGTATGCATCCGGCCCAAATGTTAGTTGGTGTGACGAGGCAGCTCTTCGTTTTGAAATTGTGACGCAAGTATGACCCCAAGTTGAAGAAATTGATTTGCGATACTCTGCGGTCATGTGTTATTGGACATTGTTTTGTCCGATGCGCCGCA